AGTTCTCAAGAAGACCTGGCTCCTGGTAGCTCTGTAACAAGTAGTGTTCAAGAGAATTCTAAAGAAAAGAAGAAAACAAAGACACATCTTTTGCAATGGAAACGGGACCAAGAGTTGGAGGGAGAAGAAAGGAAGGGAATGATGAGGAAACTAAAAAGAATTAAGATGTGCTATGTACATGTACCACCCCACTCCAAGTGAATATAATCATTATGTACTAATAAAATAAAAACTTGAAAAAGAAGGCATGGGAGAAAAATCAGATAAGTTTCACGCAGGTCTTAGTTAATAAGAATACAATTGATCTGCTTATCTATAAAGTACCATTCCATATGGGGCAAAAATGAAAATAAGACATAAGAAAGGATGTTAAAAAGTCTAGGGGAACAAGCTCACAATCGATGTAAAACAGGCAGATTTGCACCACAACGTCTAGACACTAAGCAAAGAAGACACTTTCGTGAAGTTGACATGATATAGCAGGTAGTTATAATCACTTGGTCTTTTCTATAGAAAAGCAAAGAATAAATTTCAGATATACTGGTCTCTAATCTTTGCACCAAACGTTATACATTCTAACACTAGTTCTTTGCTTCTTGGGGTATTAGCTCCTTCTAAAATTTCCAAGACTTGTAGCAATCATCTTATATAATGAGTCTTTAATGGGCAGGTAAGATTTTAGCTCAGTGGTATTTGTCGTAAGACTAATGAATTGTACCTGAAAACCCACAAGAAGGAATTAGAAAATACCACTGAAAGCCTCAAAGACAAAAAGTTCTACATAAACATTGCACGAACTGAAAGCATGGGAATAGAACAGAATCACACAGATGGAGGATGCTAAGTGGATGGAAATGGTGAATGGACTCAGTCTTACGAGGAATACAAGGGTGAAGAATGAGCACCTAGTTATACAGCATTAGTGTACAAGACGTTCTAATCCTCACTGCTTGCGCTTCATGAATTCAGAACATGTCTCTGCCATTTAATTTATTTCATTTTAAAGAGGAAAAAAGCACAGAAAAAGCAATCAAATAAATAGACAAACAAAAAACAACAACAAAAGCCAACAATATCAGCAACAACATCAACATTCTTTGCCATTTTAATTTCTCTCTGAATTTATGGTTATGAACTAGCACCATGAGTATCTTGTTCTAGATTCTCAAGACTGTCTATCACTTGCCAAGTCACGGTGGACTTCGCTGGACCAAGCAGCTCATGGACCTGCCCCTTTGTAAATGCCCCTCATGTCTATGCAGCCAAACAGGCATCCAATGTATACCATTCACAACACAGCCTGATGTGCATCATTTTAGGAACTTGACAATTAGGTTGTGAACAAAAATCACGAATTTCACCTACGTCCAGATATATGTTGATGTTTCTTTAGCTCTATGATTCTCATATGAAAACTCAGTCTTAAGAAATACCCACAAGATGGAAGCATAGAATCAGTTTCTAACTCCTATGTAAGGAGGTCTGTGTTTCCATTTGCTGTTTTTGGATATCTGCCAAACACATCTCAGTTATTTTAAGGTTTCAAAGTCCAGCTTACTTCCTTAATGTACATCCTTAATAACTATGGCATTGAAAGCAACATATAATGTACCAAAGATTTCCTTACATTTGCTTTAGTTTTGAGTAAGCACACTCCTAGACTGTAACATGAACATATAAAAGTTACTTCACTGCTTATTAATAATCCATTTGTCATGAACACTAGAATTAATGTTTAAAAATAAGATAATGCATCAAGGTTGGAAAGGACTGATAAGCTGGAAAATTCAAAAGCCCTTTTTGCTGAACAGTTTTACTGAGCCTGGATTTCATCACCAGAGACTCCGAGTGAGGGAAAAGGAAGCTTTTAAGTTAACAAACTGACTGGAGACATTGAAAAAAAAAAGAGGCTACCAAGGCAAGGTAGAATCCATATGTGTCTCAGGGGAAGTCAAACAGTTTTCAGATAATAATTCCCAGAGTGACTGTAGAGACTTTATCTGAGGAAGAGCCTAGCTTCCTCAGGGTGAAAACGTTTTCAGTACCTAGTATTTTATATGTCAGGTACTCAGGAGGGTCACTGTTTCCTGAGAATCACTAGAAACATGGCTGGAACATTTTAATCATTCACGTTTGTGTAAACTTAATAACGCTGTCTGACCAAATCACAAAGACATCTTCTCATGCACTGTATTCTCATGTTCCTTTAGCATGAAAACTCATTTTGAATTCTCCTACAGAATAGAATTTCAGGTACTATTGTTTTAGGGGGCAGGACTTTGCTCCCTTGAACCTGATGAGGAGGGAAAGGACTAGGAAAAAAACTCCTGGGGATAAACAAATGCAGATTTCTTTAAAAACAGCCATATACAAACGTCCAAAGTTTGAATTTAAAAGGTGCACATACAAGAGGGCAGAGTGAACTTTACTGCTAGAAACTCCTGCCCCTGGGTCAATACTCCCCAAAACGTACAAATCCTCAGAAAGGACATTAGTTAACCCTCCAAGCTAGTGCGTTATGGCTGTCACTTTTGCTTTCCTTTATCACCTTTAGGGTTCTGGTGGTGAGAACTATTACTTGAGTGGTGAATGTGGCCTTCCTTCCTGCATAGATTTAGCACCTAGGTGACTTAATCTGCCACTGCCAATAGCAAAAAGCACATTCTGAAGAGATATTGGAGCACAACAGTTCCTTAACCAATACTGTGGATTGAACAATGGAATTTTAGAACCTGGAGGGACTTAACAGATGGTCTAGTTCAACCTCATTCGGCCAAGAGCACACTGCTAGAAAAAATAAGAATCAAGGTCTTCAATCTTAGATAAGATATATATTTTTTGTGCTATTTTAGATTAACTATCAATTTTTTTAAATGAAAATCTGTCTTCCGTCCTTTATTTTCAGGTATAAGAACCATTCCAGCAACTTAACTTGATTTATTTGGTCTCTTAGCTGAGGAATTTTCCCAGTAAGATTACTTCACCTAGATCTATTGTGTATGATTCTTGAGTTTGACTTTCCCAGTAAAAACCATTTGGTTGTTTCCCCTTCCCTTCTCTTCTCATCTCCATAGCCTCTTACTATGGGCTCTACCATCCACTCCGCACTTCCATCTGCAGTGTCTCTGTAACCCTAAACTAGCGAGTGCCAGACTTTTGTTTCCAGGTCTTTCCTGAATACTTACACGTTCTTACCGCCTCAAACTCAGTATGCTCCTTCATCATCTCTTTTCTACATATTTTATTCAACATTTTAGAGTATCACCATGTATCTATGCATTTTCACTTGGAATTTAATCATCTGATTCCCTGTCTACCTTTAGCCAGGCCTGTTGATTTTTTAAAAACTTATTGTGCTACTTTGTGACCTTATCTTTCTTTTGGTTCCTATAAAACCCAGCATATCCTAGATTTTTATCAGTCTTCCACGGCTTTCCCGATCTCTAACTCTTCACATTTCTTAAATATCTATTTTATCACATTAACCTCTAGTTCAAAAATATCCTTCACACTCTTCTCTAGGACTTTTTCTTCTAATCAGATGTGTCTAGTTGCTATTTTCCCATTGTACCTTCTCGTTCTTATATCTGCATGCAATAAATTCCATGACTAGAGCATACCTTCCCAATAATCAACCACTTACTCAAGATGTTCAGTAGCAGCTCAAGCACAGCCTCCTCCATGAAGCTTTCTGCTACTTCTTATGCATTTACTACCTACATGACACTTCTTTTAGTGTTCAGCTTTCAAACACTTCTTATGTTAACTTTGTAAGTATATGTTCTTGTCTTCTCGATTACGACTACATCAACTAAATCTTACATGTCTTTTGCCATTTCTGAAACTATATTACACTATGAAAAAAATAAATGATGCATAGTAGTTAAGAAAACATGATTAGGAGTTTTAAAAATTCTGAGTTCAAATTCTACCTTTATTCGTCTCTATCTGGTTGAAGTTATTAACCTCTGTAACCTCTTCATTGTGTGTGTGCAGGTGTGGAGAGAAAGCATGTGTACTAGATGGTTTAACAGAACATATGTGTATAAATACATGGTATTTAACACAGCACCTGGCTCACACAAAGTGGTTTCTTTAATTTGGAATTATGATTTTGTATGTATCAGGGGACACCTCTTTAATCACTATTTTAAACTACAAGGTCATCCTAAATATTTTTCCATAGCATACTGTTATGATTTCATTTCACATGAAGTTTTACACCACTGATCACCATATTTAGTCGAAAATTACCTCTCTAAGTTGCATTCCATTTAAGCAAAAAACTTTCATTCTTCAAGCTGTGCCCAGGTGACAAGATTTGGTATGTAACACTCTGCAGATAGTTTCACATACAGCCCAATCAAGCATAATTTTCTGCAATTACCACACTTTATTAATGGAGCTGAAGTAAAACTAAAGACTCCTTTGGAATGCTAGAAAAGCTTCCAAACAGTCAAGCCAATGGTTACCCTTTTGGGGCATAGGTTTGCTAAATAAGGACTGTCAAAATAAGCTCAGTGACTAGTGACCAAAGCCAGCTTTTGAATACCAAGGCTATTCCCAAATCTAATCTGTGGTTTAAAAAAAAAAAAAACAATCAAAATGATGTATTATTGTACATTAAAAAGCAAAGTCCTGGCCTTTTGCTGGATGAAGTGATCCTTTTGTCCTAATAAAACAGAATGTCTTTAATCTTTTGTGCAACAGGCCACAATTCTTCCTAGGTTAAATCATACTAGATTTTTAAAAATCCGATAGTGCATCTCCAATGAAGGCTTCAGGAATTTTCCACCAGGAATATCTATGATCACGCACGTGAGGCCACAGCAGGGCACAAAAGTCAAAGCTATTGTCTCCTGCCCCTCATCTCAGGCCTCCTACAATGATGAGCTTCCAGAGGGCATACCTCTCTCAACACCACTATAGAAACTGCCTCCCTTCGAAGACCCAGTCTCACTATTTCTGCACCTCTAAGCAGTGAAATTACATGGCCTTACCGCAGATGTTAGACGAGCAAGGATTTCATCACTGCTTTCTTCAGAATCTTCAATTTTCTGATGAGACCTTTGAAAAACAAAAACAAATTACCCTTTGCCTTTGGTTGCTGTGATTTACCTGCCACATTATGAGGAATAAAGGGCAAAAAGAGACACTGTCATTTTAAGTAAAAGGATGTAAGTAATGAACACCAGTAAAATCACAGAATCACAATCCTGTTGCAATACAACTAACTGTTCCTTCAAAATAAGTAGAAAGAACATCTCTGCAGGGCACCAGTGGAAACCAGAGGGCTAAATGCTAGTCTCCAAATGGTGTCCCACAAGAGGCCCCACACTTCTCATCTACAGGCATAGGCATGTTCAAAGGCAGAGGAGCACATAAAGTACTTACCTATTGAAATTCCTTTTCATCTAAGTGAAATCTAAGTTTTGAAAATACAAAATGTGAATTTGGCACTACATTCGAGTTTCAGCCAGCCCAAACCAATTTACTATGAAATGGTCTATTTCAGGCCTACCCACATGATAGGAATTATGAGGATACAAAAACCAGAGGAACCTCCTTCATGAAAACAAAATCACATTACATGAGCCATAACAGTGAAAAAGTTCACTTTCTTGAGGAAAATATGTATCTTCAATTTAACTCATAAAAAAGATTTCAACCACATAAATGTATACACTAACATATAAAATTTCCTACTCAAAAAAAAATCTTTTAAGCTTTATTATTTTCCCTGGTTTTGTCAAAAGAAAAAACTGACTAATGGCAAACTGAATGTATAATCTCTCTTCTAGATCTATTTCCCCAAACGGCCACTTTTGACATACTTGGTGGAGGGGGAAGGACTCGTGGGAACTGTCCCACAGAGCCGGAGCACTGGCCTCTCAGGGGCAGAGAGCTTCTCACTGCTCAGAGGTCAGTCGGGCAACAACACTTTAAGAAAGGAAAATCTAGCTGATCAATTCTGGTATTCACTCCTTGCTTCTGTCAAGATGACTAAACCCTCTTTCAGGGGGAAAAAAAGTCACACCCTTGAAATCACAGCAATGAATTACAAGCCATTGCCTTTACAAGAATTGCAAGGTGCAGCTAGAGCAGTGCTCGGGCTGTCAAACACCTCAATTACTCATGCAGCAGCCAAATCTAGTGCCTGCCTCTGAGCTGCCTGATACAAACAGCAGCAATTGAGGGTTTCATAGCATATTTTTTTAAAAAAAGTTAGCTCGATATAATGAACATTTCAAATAACATGTTTTATTATTAAGATTCTCTACACAGAAGGTTTCCTTACAAACTAAGAACACATTTAAAACCCTTTATAACCTCAGCTACCAAACCAGGCTTCTGTGATTCAGCGGAGGTGCCTGAGCAGATCTGACAGGAAATTAAGGGCTGAGTGCGCTAAAGATGAGAGCACCAAGCCAGAGCTTCTGCTGCTTGTCTGTCTCTGGAGCAAAGCTTGGGCTGGTCATGTCTTTTCATGTTTCTCAGACACCTGCAGGATTAGTTAATGGGCATGAGGTATTTTGTGCTAGCACAGATTCTGTCATGAATCTGTTTGCAATAAAGCTGTGGAAAGGAACTCGAAATTTCAAGGGAAACCCATGTGTCTAGGACCGGTAATGGTTATTTCATGAGCAGAGGCTAAGCTGTTGCTGCTTTAGTGACAAATAATTCAGTCCCTGTTCAGAAACAAAACTGCCTTTCATCATTCTTGCAGAATGAAACAGGAGCTGGCAAAAATGTTTTTGAAGGAAATATGTGCAAAAGAGACAGAGTGATGATCCTTCGGGAGCTGTCCGCAGCCTACATCCCACGTTCACCACTTCAGTCACCGTGATTCATGGCGTGACGCCCAGAACTCCCAAGTCTTTCTTCAGCTTCTAAATTCCCTAAGCTTGCCTTATTTGTCCACCAGCTTTCTAAGTGGCTGGACACAGCAATTCTAGAGCTTCATTTTTACCCATATGGGAATCTTGCAGGCTCCTTGAACTGAACTGAACTCACACTGGCACTTCTGGCCTCTCTGTTTCAGCTTGGCCTCCTGCATCTCCTGGCGTCCCTCCTGTGTCCCTACCCTCTCAAGCCACCAGATGCTCTTTCTTCCCTCCCTTGAGCTCTGCTGCCCTTCAGTCCCCCTCCCTGCTACCCCTCTCTGATAGTCTAGGACCTGAACTTCTCTCCAAGTTCATCTCTCCTGGAGTAGGGGAAGCTCAGCGGTCCAGGACTGGTGATCACAGCAAACGGGTAAAGGGCTTGACTGAGAAGAAGACAGGAAAAAAGGAGAACATTTGGCCACTCTCCTTCTGCTCATTACCACAGCCACTTTGCACCTTCTCCTCCTCCCCAGCTTTTTATCAAAATGCCCAAAAATGACAGATTCACCTCCTATTCGATGTACTTTTACAAAACGTACGTAAACTTTGATTGTTATACATACAGATACACATCAGTGCAGCTGAGGAAAGACAAAGTTCTCACCAGATCAAAGTAGGTAATGAAACAGATGGGGCGGGGGGGAGGGTAAAATTTGCATGTTTTCCATTATTACGGAAGGGAATTATGCTGCTCAGTGAGTAAAAGAGAAGAGAGAAGGTATGCTGCTTCTAAGCCCATGGTTAGAGATGAGAAACAAGGACACTCAGGCTGGAATCAGCAGACAGTGGTAGTGACAGTGACAGAAGAGAGCTTCCCCAAGGAGGAGCTCCTATCCCCAAGTGTTTGTGCCAGCAGATGTCCCTTTAGGAACTCCAAGGGTGCTTCTCAAAGACTCTGTTGACTGACAGTCCAAGGTAGATCTGGTAATTCTTCAAGGGAAAGCACTGAGGCCTGGCACTGGAGACTGACGTCTTACAAGGTCTAAGGATGCTATCATAAGGATACAGGGATGGCAAAAACCTAATAGCCTCTGTTCTTACCCTTTTTCTTTCATTCATACTTAATTAATAGTGTATACAGTCAAGATGCAGTATGTGATGATTTGATTTCCATGCACAATGTGAGGTGATTAGCACCACCACCCACACCATGCATTGGATCCGCAGGACATGCTCAACATAGAGCTAAAAGTTTAGACCCTCTGATCAACATCTTTCCATTTTTCCTGCCCATAACACCAATATTTTAGAGGGGACTATTTTATATAACAAAGCAAATTTCCATAAAAAAAGAAAAAGTAAGATGGTAGCATGAGAATTAGTACTTTGTTTTGAGATCTTGATATCATAAATATGAACATCTATTCACTTTTTTCATAATATGAGGCCAATGTTATTCTGACAGTAAATTTACCCAACAGTAGTAAACCGCAAATGCAACAGATTTCATTAAGGATCCAGGGTAACCAGAGATGTACTAACCTAAACTTACATAAAACCAGTTATGTTGATATCTCTTTTTCACCTTATTTTCAGGATGTGAAAATGAATGCTAAACAGCTGCATTTCAAATGCTAATACAACCAAACCTAGAAGTTCAACTTTTGCTATAATTCCTATGCTACTCTTAAATACAGATTTACTCTGCTAAGCAATCTGTTCCCACACCTGGAATAAGCCTTGCCTATAAACAATGGAAATTTTAGAAATTTTTGAGGACTCAGTGCTTCCTTGGGAGAGGGGATAATGAGTAACAAAGATTAAGAACAGCTGATTTTGTAACATGTTTTATAAAAACATTTTAGAGAGATAAGTGGAAAGTTTCTTCCCCTATGATCCTAACACAAAACTTGTGCCAAGCTCCACTGTGAAAATTTTTTTGACGAATACTCAAAAAATATTTTGTTTACCCAGCTAGTATTTCTTCTTCTCTCGGTATCATGAAAATATCAATAGGAGAAGTCAGAAGCACAAAGGGTAGGTTTGGGACACAGGGATGGCAACTCTGAACTCGACCCGAATGTGGTCCCTCCCCAAGCTGAGGATTTCAATGAATTTCTCATGTTGCTTCCACATGTCAGGTGGAAAAGAAAAAGTCAGGCAGGTTAAGAAGAAGGGGCCCAGAAGAGAGAAGGTTCTGGGGTAGTAGTGATGCTATATAGGACACTAAGGGGATACAGGGACTTAATTCTGGAAGCTGTCACTATAGAGTTGATAATAAATGTATCACTCACTGAATATATCCAGAGGGCACAGTCAGAGTAGAGAAAGCAGCGTCACCCAAACACTGAGCTTAGGACACATCATATTTAGAGGGCAGTGTTTTAAATTATATGTTTTATTATTAGTTAGGAATGGCCAGTCTGACTATTCAGAGATTGACAGAGCGAGAGAAAATTGTCATTAAAAGGCAGCTCACAGTCCCCCAGAGGAAAAGACATGGCACCCTACAGGGCAAATATCAAGGTCAGCCAGGAGGCAGAGGACACAAGGGGAAAATGTGAACATTTTTGCTGTGTATGTGGTTCCTGCAGTAACAAGTGAAACAGGACAAACAGGCTGAGGATTGGGTAGTTTAAGTAATTTCACCAACCCTGGAGCAGAGCGGCTGCCTGCAGTTGTATGGTACTGGATGAATGGGGTCAGTGACAAGGGATCTGGAAAGTGAAAGCCCAAAAGCACAGGTGGTTCGGATATGGGCACTGGGTTGGCTGGGTCACATGCAGTATGATAGAAAAACACAGTGTGTGCTTACATTTAAAAACTGTATTAAGTAAAAGCTACATTTCCATTAACCAGCCTCAAAATACCACTTCTCCTTCAAACACACTGATCCCATCATTCTGGCCACCTTCTGAAGCTGCTCTGGAAGTTGTCTTCTATGAGTGTCTTGGTTGAGATACTATACTTGCTTTGATGTCCTGGATGGATTCAAAATGTTTACCTCTAGTAGTCATTCTGAATTTGAGGAAGAGGTAGAAATTAAGTGATGCCAGATCCACTGAATAAGGTGGTGAAAACACACTGAATGTTTTATTGTTTTGGTACGAGGGACTGAATTTATAACCTCATACTTACCAGGCAGGTGCCTGCTGCTGAGTTAAATCCCCAGTCTCCATGCTGATTTTTTTTTTTTTTTTTGCTGTTTTGTTTTGTTTTTGGAGACAGGGTGATCTTGAATTCACTATGTAGCCCAGGCTGGCCTTGAACTCACAGCAATGCTCCTGGCTCACCCTCCCCAGTGCTAGGATTACAGGTGTGTGCCAGCATGTCAGGCTAACTCTGAATGTTTTTTACAAGCCCTCCTTATATACCGCATGATGGTGGGCAGCAGTATTCATTTTATTTTTATCATACTTCATATAAAGAGAGAAAGGAAGACTTCCAGAACTTCAGTGGCAAGAACCCTGGGATTAAGTGTGTCGGAAGGGGGAATGTATAGAGCAGCATTAATGACAATGTGTCTTTTACTGCATACATTTTTGAACTTAAATATTCACTGTATGTTTCGATCACCCCTTGTATATAAAAGGTGAGCTCACAGATAAATTCTTTCCCACTTCTATGAATTGACTGGTTCTGTGAGAAGAGCAGTCTCTCTGGAGACAGCATGGCCCCAGTCATCAAAGGACAAAGGACGGGAACTCGTGGTTAACACAGTCAAGACAAGAAAAAATAAGCAAAGGAGCCTGAAAAAGACAAGAGGCGTTATTCCAGGAACCGAATAAACAATTGTTTCCGGAAGGGCAAGATCAGCTGTGCCGAATAATGTGAAGGTGTCAGGTGAGACCGGGGCTGTCTTATTGTATGTCATGACTGAGGCACAATAACCTAATGAAGGAGAGCTTGGTTTTGGCTTATGTTTTCATCCATGGTAAGCTGGCTCCAAAACATGGCAGAAAGACAAAGATGAAAAAAGCTGCTCATGTCACAGCGACCAGGAATTAGAAAGCAAAAGAGGGGGCCGGGAAGGGAGATGTACTCTTCTAGGTGACTCCCCCAGTGACCTCCACTTCCAACCAGGTCACCCCTCTTCACAGCAAGTCAACTGTGGCATCTCATGACTCAACCACCTATTGAAAGCACTGCCCGGGAGCAAGCAGGCCTTTGTGGGCATTCTCCATTTAAACCGTAACAAGGACTTGGAATCAACCACTGCTTTTGGCCACAGTTGTCATGACAAGGGTGCTCCCACTATAGAAAGGGACCGTTCTGACGAGATATCCCTGGTCTTCCTCTGTCACAGCCAAGGAGCCCCAGCACTCATCAGGTACCCGGAGGTTGCACAGTCACTATGCCGAAAGAAATCCATGGAACTGAGCTCAAAAATATGCTAAGCAGCTGAAAGAGGACTTTAAAGATTACTATATTACAAAAATTTTACTGCATCAGACTAAGACTGTGAGATTTCCTTTCCTTTTCTCTGGCTGCTGAACTGGATGGAGACTCATCTAGATAACTAATACCAGATCCCTTAGGGAAAGACAAAGAAGCTACATTTTTCTTTATGTATCTGAGTTGTTGCCTGAGTCAAATTCTAGCAATTTTCTGCAAGTCTTTTAATAATGATGGATGTGTCAATTGCTGGGTGATTGGAAGGTAGAGGTTCATGTACCCAGGTCCCCAGACTACTATCCCATCCCATCTCCAGTCCCTGAAAAGCTGTGGCAATGACAGCTGAGTTCCAAGAGTCAAGTTTCTCACAAACAAAATTCTCAAGCCAGTTACTGATAAGGAGAAATGTCTTATGAGTCCTGTGGGAATTATGAGGCACCTTTTCTCTGTGTTGTTACCTCTATGCTGTTACTTCATTATTCCTCATCAATTCTCTCCTTTGTCCCACCCAAAGCAAAAAAATCAGTAGCAGCTTCATTCCCCCCTCCTGCTTTAAAAATTCCTTTTAAAAAGAATAAATCATTATGTTTCTCTTTTTAGAAATGCATTTGTACAGAACAAAATTCTCTTTACAGAGACATTAAGTGGTTTTCTTCCATTATTTTAAAGACACTTATGAGAAGATGGAAAATGAGAAGGATCTAATGTGGAACTACCTTGGTAGAACTGTAATGGCTTTCGAATACCAAAAAGGTTGTTAAAAGGTCCACAAGAGAAGGGCTTTCACCTCATAAACGGACCAGAGAAGAATCAAGAGGACATCAGAGGGCATTTCACTAGAATAAAACTGAAACAACACAAGACTAAAAAGGACATAGAATGATGGATTTAAAAATATACAAAGAGCAGCATGTTATCAAAAGTAAGATCAGGGGCTGGGATTTAGCTCAGCGGCATAAGCGCCTGCCTTGCAAGTGTGCGTTCGTAAGTTCGATCCCTGGTACCGATAAAAAAAGAAAAAACAAACAAACAAACAAAAGTAAGATCAATGTAGACCAGACATGAGGTAAGATTTGGGCTCCCTGTTGAGAGTTGGGTAGAATTCAACTAGCAGAATTAAAAAAAAAAAAAAAAAAAAAAAAAGGTGGAGGACGAGATGGAGATGGAGAAGGAAAAAAAGAAGAAGGAAAAGGAGACAGAAGAGAGGACAGGAGCATCCCTCAGGCAGGAGAGAATATTTGGCAAGGCCTGGAGGCTAAAAGAGCAGAGACTGTCAGGTCAGAGCAGGAGCGTATGTACGCAACTCTGGAAACGGCTGTGACAGTGCAACTGAAAGGGGTCAGTGTCTCTGGGCATCTTCTTCTCTGAGCACAGTTGTCACTCTGGATAACTCAGCTTTCCAAACTTTGGCCAAAAACATTCTATAATAGCATAGAAGTTGGTTTATAAGTCTAGTATAGGAAACACAAAAAGACATTCCCTCTATCCAGAAGAGACTTGCGGTGAGTCAGTAATTTTCATTTTTATATTTAGGGCCCACATGAAGACACAGACAGGTGCACTGGTCCCCAGTGACCACTTATCTGTAGGAGTCAGTGATCACTCGCAAAAGCACATGTTCACACCAACAGGAAAAAAATGTTGCTGGTAAATACAGCATGCTACAGTGAGCCTCAACTCCAGAACTTGACACTCGTTTCATAGTGGCTGGTGTGACAAAGCAAGTAATGTGGAATTAATAGTAGGGCTTGGATTTTAAAACTGCTTTCATTTCCAAAAATTAGAATAGTCGGGGCTTTGCCTTAGAGGAAGGTCATCTCCCCAAGGGGAACCCAGTTTGCTCTGGGTGGGAGGGAGGGTTGCACCATTATTTCCACTGCTCTCTTGCCCTTGTTGATCTGGAGGTGTGTGTGTGGGATGCACACACCTCCTTCTGTATGCAGGAGAGGAAATGGGTGAGAAGAGCTGCTGGAGAACGCTAATCCCTTAGAGTCACAACCAGTCACAGCCACTGTAGTTTAAGGCATGCCACTCCTTTGTAGAAAGCTCATTAGAGTTTACTGAAATGCTCCTTGATATTTCTTAGGACATTTGTGACTGTTATAAGCACGCATTACAATAAAGAACATCTCCCATACTCAGCCTAATTGAGTAACATTTGGGTTTTGTTTCACCACTGGGAGTCCCTCTGCAAACAGTGGTTGTGGGAAATCCATAACAATTTCACAGCTCAGCCTAACGCTTTTACAGCTTTTATTTATAATTTCTCGGAAAGAGATGCAAGAATGACCCCCGAAACTTGTGAGAACACATCACAGCAGGTGACAAGAGCAGAGGTGTCAGCATTAGACAGACAGGGATTCAAGCACCAGACTCTGCTTGCTCCCTGTGTGACCCCTATCTGACTTCTGTCCCTCACTTCCCTCACTTACAAAATAAGTAAGAGTAATAAGAGTTCCTGTCTTACAGAATTCTGAAAGTAAAATAAGACATTTTTGGAGCATAGCCCCTCACATAAAATATGTTCCAGGAAATCAATCTTTCTATTAATACAGCATCTCATAAATATTCTAAAACTTCTCTTTTGCTAAAAATAGATAATATAGTCAACTGTATTGACTGTTTGATATTGTCACTTTAAGAGTAACTTGTCTCTGTTATGTTTACTGAGGTGCTTCTCCAGGAACTTACTTTCTTACCTAAGAAATGAGGATAATTTTACTTGACCTACTAATTTCACACAACCGAAAGTCAACAAACAGGGACACTTTCCTGAAACCTGAGATGTTGAAAAGTTTTCAATTTTTGATTTTTAATTCATATATCAGAAATGCCACTATCAACATCAATAAATAAAAGCATGTCAGAATCTCTTTATGATGACTCAAGACCTCTTCCCAAGTCTCCTGTAATTAATTTTAATCTTATAGTGATTCAATATCTTCATGTGATAATGATTCACATGTTTTAATTTGCCAAATGTTACACCTAGATTATTTTCAGAAAGGTCTCTTGTATCTTCCTTAGCACAGTCACGACTTGGATAGTGGATAATATGTGAGTTATTATTTCATTCCATCTTAAGCCCGATCATATGTTTATCCCTATTTAGATCATCTACTCTCACAGCCATGGAATATTAGAAGCAGTGTAATACAGCTGATGAGACATGGGTTTGAGATTTGTATACCAGATCAGCCATTTAGGAGCTAGATTTAATTTTCACACATTTATTTTACCTTTCTGAGGATGCATGTGAAAACTGGGAACAGCCCATCTACCTCTTGAACAAGGTAGAACAATAGTTGCCTGACAGGACATCTATCTTCTCTAAGTCAGAATAATACCAACGCCCAGACAGCAACTACTTACAGTTCACAGATGCCAGCCCTGGCAGGAATGAGGGGCACAAGCTGCAGCAGAAGTTTGACACCATTTTGCCATTCTTCTTCTCTTTCAAATTCACAGTACAAGTAGCTACATTCATCAGATGAGAACTGGTAGAAAACATAATTATCTTGAAAGTAGAGATGCTGGTCCACTGTTTGAAAGAAACAACAAAAAAGGTGTGGGTTATTATCAAACATATTATTTAGAGAGTCATCAAACAATCAAATAATATATTGAAGTGCTAATAATTATAAAGGAGCAGCCAGAAGTAAAGCTATAATTACACATTCTAACCTCACTTATGTTCACAATCTCACTGAATTTAAAAGGATTTACTGGCCAGTCTATTCTTATTACTTGAAGCTTGGGCTAGCATATTCACACACATTTTATACTTTTCCTCCTGCAAAAAGTTAAATGCCAATGAAATCAGTGTCAAATCAAAGAAGATAGTAAAAAGTGCTTTTTAGTGTCTCAAAGCAAACTAATATATTTCATTTGTTTGGTAATATACAAATATAACATGATAGCAAGTTTAGCAAGTAGTGGTTTTCAATTGAGATGACCATGTCCCCCTGAAGACATAGTTGGTGACATTGAGGGGCCTAACTGGGGTGTGTGTGTGTGTGTGTGTGTGTGTGTGTGTGTGCACGTGTGTGTGTAGACACACTGACATATACAAGGTAGAAAAAAGAGGTGCCACCACTAAAAATCCTGTAATGTATAGGACAGACCCCTACAACAAGGAGTTATCCCACCCAAAATGTCCATGCTGCCAACGTTTGAAAACCCTATTTCAAAGGAATCAACAGTTGAAGATTTTTCCAAAAAGCATTAGCATAAAACACTGCTAACTAAAAGCCTGAACCTATAAAATAAGCTAATAATATCTCTGTTCCTTATAAGTAGCTAACTGAATTTCCAAATAAGAGTATTAGAAGCTAGGTATTACATCTAAAAAGATTACAGCCACATTCTCATCTGTATTATTCTTTCACCATGGCACCAGGTTACGCCCTCAATATTCATTAATGATAGGAAGGGGCTTCTCCATAAGCAAACAGCACCTGCAAGAATGAGCTAAATAAAGAAACCAGATTGCTCGGCTTCTAATCCTTCAATTCCCTGGGCTCAGTTAAGGAAAGAGATATTACCATCTATTTTAGTTTCCAGTTAACATCTCTTTTCTGTCCTATTTAAACAGCTAACCTTCATAGGTCATATCTCTAAGTGTTCATGATTACCAGTTCAATTAAAATGGCATACACATCCCACTCATAAAAGCAGTTTCTGAAGATTACTCTAAGTGCAGGAAGATAAATACACAAAAGAGCAACTAAAGGTGTCACTGATTAAAAAAGTTTACGAGCGTATTTTAAGGAGAAAAGGGAGGGAGAGTAAGGGAAAGACTTTCATACGTCTTAATCTACAAATCAACAAGTATCTAATTATTTTTTCAAAACATGTAAGAAATAAGTGACTCCAAACAAGACTTGTTGTTTTTTACTTAGAACACAAGAAAGAATGCAAACATTTACCTTCAAAAAGCAATTTCCACTCAGTTTACAATACCTCCTAAAAAACCAAGTATATTTTGGCTTAATAGCTTTACAAAATAATGATTTTGTATCTTCACAACACACAACACTAACCTGATGACATAATCCCCATATCCAAAAGGAGCTGCCAGACTCCTACGGCCATAGCTCTGCACGGGACAAAAGGACAGTGCTCTAGAAGCCAGTCGACAAGTTCTGACCCAACACAGCTTCTCCTGGACAAAACAAAACCATTCACCATAAGCGCTTGCAACATATTTTCAAAAAATTGGCATTATATACCCGCTTCAGGTGTTCGTATTTTTAAATGAGTCCAAAAATAAATGTCATAACTTATTTGCCTTTTAGATTAATGCTCCTCTACCACTTCCTTGGGAAAAATTAGGAATGGAATTCTCACCACCTAACAGGTAGTACTCATATATCTTTCCAAATGAACACCATTCATTTATGCCACTAGAAAATAATTTTTAGGAAAGCAGGAACTTTGCATACCTATTAGAACAGCCCAGACCCCACAGTGAGTTCTCAAACTGTAATTTATTTGAATGAATGAAGGAAAGCATTTAGCAGTCTTTTGTATAATGTTTCAGGCAGGCCAGGGATATACCTCATCAGCTCAAGCACATGCCTGGTAAGCGTGAGATCACTTGATCCCTGTACCTCTCAATACCAAATAGATAATGTTTCTGCCTTGGTAAGTCACATACAACAAGCTGATGGTGATAAATTTTGGTTCAACCATTTATAGATTTTTATCTGCTCCTTAGTTCCTTTGGGAGCAAAACAATCCAAAGGAGACAAAACTGGGAGCATTTGCTAGGCATAGTGGCAGACTCCTATAGTTCTAACACTTGGGTGGCTGAGGCAGGAGGATCATCGTGAGTTCAAGGTCAGCATAGATGACATAGTGAGATTCTATCTCAAAAAGCCAAAAACCAAAAACAAAAGCAAAAACAAACCAAAAAAAAAAAAAAACCCCAAAATTCAAAGCAATATGAAGTTTTGTTGACCAGTCTTCAAAAATTAAAAGCCAAAATTTGTCTCAAAGAAAAAAAAATCTGATTCTTTGTCTTTTTAATATAGTCTGAGGCAATCTAGTTAAGCAGGTTATAAACCCATAAAAATCTAGATGTGTGTGCTGGATCCTACTAAACATGCACACACTCAAATCATCTCTGTAATCTGTCTTAAAATATATAATTCTGATGCCATGATCTGGATATTACAAGTAGTATCTTCACATCTACTTTCCCATCTGCGTTGGCTTCAAAGGAAAAACAAAAGAAAACATTCTCAAATACATTTTTTTTTGTTGGCAGAAATGTCACTGTATTCTACCCTCTCTTATGAAAAAAGGTCACTACAGTGTGTTAGAAGACTGACACCACATAACGGCCATCTTTATCAATAGTCAGCATTGAAGGATGTCAATATTTGTTTGTATCTATTTCTTGTAATTGGTACAATCATAAATTCTTTGATATCATACAGTAATAGATAATATGAAAAGTTACCAGGGCTGGGGATTTAGCTCAGCGGCATAAGCGCCTGCCTTGCGAGCAGGCAGTCGTGGGTTCGATCCCCAGTACCAATAAAAAGGAAAAAGACAAAAAAAAAAAAAAAAAAAAAAAAAGAGTTGCCATGAGGTGTTAGATTTTCTTGGGTAAGAGAAAATGTGATTGTGGACCTCCCTCCTGAGATATTTGATCAAATATTCAAATAATTTTAATAAAGCATTTTTTCTGGTAAAATACCAGTTTTAAAGATGCTCTAAGATAAGCCAATTTCAAATCTATTTACGTGGAAGTTCACATTTGGACAATAGAAACAGTAACAGTCAAGTAAGATGAATGTTTTAAAACAAAATAAAATAGATGCAACAAAACAGGCAATTAAAAGCCAAACAATTGCCAAGGATTTAGCTCAGTGGCCTAGGCCTGTCTGGCAAGAACAAGGTTGTGAGTTTGATCCCCAGTACCAAAAAAAAAAAAAAAAAAAAAAAAAAAAAGACCAAAAAAAAAAAAAAAAAAAAACAAATAATCAATGTTAACTTCTATAATTGTACAGGACACCTTTCATGTTAAAGATTCCAAGTATTAATTAACTAATTTCTCTACATCTCTTAATTAGCCAGCATCCTTAGGCATCAAAAGCAGCATTATCCCACAGATTAAATTCTGTAACAATTTAATTCATATTCTCAAAGCAATGTAACTCCTACACCTACTCTGGATGCCTGATATCACCTGAAATATAAAAGTATATGATATAAAAGTTACTAAACACACCAAACTACCAAGCTGCAAAGGGTGGCTATGTGGAAACATGGCTAAGAGGTTTCACAGACCAAAGGTTCTCAAAAATCAGGCTGAGGAGTCAACTCAGGGTACTATTAAAACACAGACTGATGCAGCGAGACTGTGTGAGGCCTGAGGTTCCCCAGAGGATACTGGAGACCAGAGTCCTAATCTTCCCACTCTGCCCTGTCATTGGAAAGGGCTCACCCCGGTTGATTTTTGTGGGGGGGGGGGCCAGGGGGCAAGGACTTTGAACCAATAGGCTAGTACTCAGTATTGCCATGACAACCTTAATGAATAACAGGGTCTACTCTCAGATGAGCTGTTCTTTCTGTTACACATGATCCCTTCCTACCCCTCACTAATATTATCAAGTTATGTTTTGAATCACTTTCAATCATCCATCTGCACCAAGGGAAACATTAGTGTAATGAGAAACACTATCATTAATATCACTAAAGCAAACATTAAACTCCTGGTCCCTGGACTTGCTGACCAGATCTGCAACAATCCAGTTAAAATATCTACACGCACCCTACAAGCGATGAGCAGTAAGGAAGAAAACAGACTTGGCTAGAACAGAGCAATTTAAATACCAACAGCAGTTCTGCCCTATGGAATATTTTCAGAAACTACTGTGAGTACCTGCAGATCTAACTACACTGCAGGACTGAGTCCCTGCAATATGGAGGTGATGAGCTACAAAGCCCATGTGTCTGCTCCAACAAAAGGTGAAATTTACCAGTCTTTGGAGTGGAAAATTTGTTTATTGTTGGCCACCTCCTGTCTTCCATTATAATGCTGGCACTTAATTCAAGGTAATGCAGACACTTTTTTTTCTTTTTGAAGGCAGAGTCTTGCTATGTAGTTAGGCTGGAACTCAACTCCTAGCAATCCTCCTGCCTCAGCCTCGGGAGCACTGGGATTTAGGAATACACCACCACACTCAGACTTGTTTTTTTTTTTTTTTTTTTTTTTTTTTTAAACTGTTCCACAAAATGAAATAGTGCTTCAGACTTTCGAAGTAACCACTATCAGTCCCATCTGTGCTTAAAAACTGGCTAGGAACTAACTCATTTACTGTAATGCATCTCTGCTCTCTTCACTATCCCCAGGCAGCCAACTGTTGTCCTCCACCAATTTGTGTCTCCCTATGGTACATGGCACCAAGAAGGTGCCCCTCTCACTGCAGGACTCCCTAAAAGTCCTCACAGAACTTTCATAAAGGCCCTAAAGAGAAGACCTATAGATCTGGAAGTTGCCAGTGCAGCACACACTAGGAAAATATTACATTATAAAATATCGCATCTCAGAGGGAAGCAGAGCAGAAGCCACACTTGTGGTTGGGGACTCCAAACCCTAACTTCAGAACCAGAAGTCCCCAACATGTAGTAAACTGAATAACAGAAAAGTCACCCCAGAACCTCCAGCAGTCACACACCAGCCCCTTCCACTGCAATACTAAGACGGTCCTCCTCTCTCTGATCAAGGTCATGATTTTAACACAATCTTTTTTTTCCCCTGATGGAGGGTTTCTGACAAGATGTTAGGAAATTACGTTACCTGTAAAACCCCTTGAGGTTCACTCGGTCCTTTACCAGGTCAGCTGCCTGAACGATAATATTCCTCAATGCTCTTCCTGCACAAGAAGAATTCTCTCCATAAATCTAAACAGAAAAGACAGACATAAATGTAGAACACTATAAATGTAGAACAATAACATGACAATTTGGGAGCTCCTGATGTCACGCTATATACAAAAAATCATGACCAAATCCCTAAGCTTGAGACGCATTTTAGCCCATGTAATTACAGACCTATCATGACCTTATTTTATTTTAGTACTGGCTCACTTATGCTATTAAGCTATAATGATTATTTTCCAATGCTAAAGTACTTACCTACAATTATAAATAATCTTTTAAAACACAAAGTTTTCAAGGTAAAATCTTGACCTTTTTAAAAATACAGTGAAGCCAGATAGTGCCTCCCATGAATTGGCAGAAGCTATGCCAGGATTGGGAGGAGCCCATCAAGAAGAAGAAGAAGCCCATTAGCCCTTCTGGCAAATTGTGCAAGCCATGTGGGGCCCGGGAAGACAGAAGTCAGCGCCTGCTGTGAGCCTACTGGCATGAAGGTTGAGAATCAAGACAATCCCCCATCTCACCCTTCTGAGGACAATCTGCTGGTTCGGAAGACAGCTTGAGTTGATAGTAATTGAGATACAAAAAGCAACTGAATGCTTGAATCATTTGGCTGACTTTGCAGGCCTGGGGGCAGTGGTCTGAGCATCTACTGGAAATATAGTAAATATGCAATATAGTAAATATGGGGGATTTCCTTCTGACTTGTTTTTGAAGTCCAATATTGTTCCCACTGTTTTGTTTTGCTTTGATTTACTGTTTTTGCTTTATTCAATGTTCTGTTTTGATTTATTTTATTCTTCTGGATCTGGTTTGATTTTGCTATGTCTGATGGAATGGATCACTACTGTGAAGATAACAGGTACACTATGGTAGCCATTGTTGATTTCCTATTGTCCTGCTTTGAAGTTCTGTACCAATGTCACTGCTTTGCTTTGATTAGCTTTATTCTGTTTTATTTTGTTAGAATTTACTATCTTTTAAAAAAAAGTGTCACATGCCTATAATCCCAGCGCTTGGGATGCTGAGGTAGGAGGATTACTGTGAGTTCAAAGACATTCTGCACTACAGAGCAAGACCTTATCTCAACCTCCCCCCCAAATCTATATCAATTTTTGCTGGGCATGATGGCGCACACCTGTAATCCCAGTACTTGGGAGATTAAAGGAGGAAGATTTCCAGGAGTTTAAGGCCAACCTGAGCTACATAGTGAACTCAGGGTTAGCTTGTACTACACAGTGAGACCTTGTTTCAAAAAAAAAATATAGTGTTTCTATCACTGCAGCAAACTCAAGAGTATTTATATTTTAAACATTCTGCCATATTGATAATGTATTCATATAAAAGTCTTGGGAAGTGTGAAAATAACTTTTTCCCTCTTTGGTGAACATCTTGAACCATGACGTATTTGACAGCAGGCTGATCTGCTCTATACCTTTGCTTAATTGCTAAGCTCATAGTTAATTCCATGCTATTTTGTTGCATCGACAGTACTACACGATTCCATTCATCAGATAAAAATTTCATTAAACTTATTTTTTTAATCATCTAATTCTCCCATGTGAGTTTTTTGATTCTTAGAGGATGAAGTAGACCACTGCTTAGCATTAGAGAAGTCTGGTGCCTTTTGTAGAAAACTGCCTCCTTCTACTTGCATTTTCCTCCAAAGCTCAGTGATGTCTCATACGCAAAGGAGGCTAAAAAAAGAATGAGCAAAAATAAACTAAAATGAGTAGTCTCCAAAAGATAAACACTTGTAAAAATCAATATATATTGAGTTGTTTTGTTTTGCGCTGCTGGGGTTTGAATCTAAGGTCTCAAAATGCTAGACAAGGGCTCTACTCTGAGCTATTCCCCTGCTTCTCAGCCATCTTTATTCAGAGAAAACATACTTTTATACTTTTAATTGCTTTTTTAAAATTGTTGAAACTTAAATACAACATGATGAGAAAGTAAAAAGAGCAGAAATCATTTTTATCTCCCCCTTCTTTTTTTGGTCTTGTTTAGACAGAGTCTCATGATACAGTCAGGCTGACCTTAAACTCACTTTGTAGCCCAGGCTGGCCTCAAAATCACAGTGATCCTCCTGCCTCAGTCTCCTGAGTGCTGGGATTCCGGGTGTGCACCACACCACGCCTGGCAGGAAATGACTTATTTTTAACATGTTTAAACCTATTTTTTAAATATCAAAGCTTAAGCGATCCAGATGACAGAAAACATTACAAGCAAGGAGGTGTAAGTCAGCTGACATCTGACTAGCCCTAAAATTCTGTCATTCAAGAGGCATTTAATGAGCAGTTACCATGTGCCAGGTTTTTTCTAGATGCTGGGGACACAGTAGGGAACATCGTAAGAAAGTCCTTGCTTTCAGAAATCTCAGTCTCCTGTTATCCTAAAGAACATAAATGTCTGTTGACTGATTTTTTTACTGCAATACAATGTAGACATACTCATGTGTTCTTACCAGTGAACACAAAGGGGACAGTCCTCTAATAAATAATTGTAAATATACAACTCCTCTCACACAAAGCTTTTAGTGTAAGCTACCCACTATCTGTAAAATACGATATTTATATCAATAAGGAAAATTGAATAATAATCTGCCACACTGACAACACACTCATATGAAAGCTGTGAAAATGGGAAAAAATATGTATATATTATTTTTTTTCATATCTTATGAATGATGACACAACAATCAAAACATCCCAACATCTTGGTTGTGTCATCCCTGGTAGGTGAGACAGTGTGAGCACTGCAGCAATCATGTGAAGCCCCATACGGTCAGGAGCAGAGGCAAAAGCTACAGCTGGAGAATTAATTCTGTACCAGGATTTGTGAATCTTTGTTAGAGAAAATACAGTAAGAGAGACAGACAAAAAATAAATCATACCTGGGAAGGAGTGTGTTCAAGGTATGGATTGGAAATTCTTCTTGACAGAGTCTATTAAAAACAAAAAAAAGGAAATCAGAATCAAACAGAAAACTTTGTACCCAAAGAGCACACATACACAACAGTAGCACGTCTGGGGAGTGTCCACGCAGCGGAAAAGTGACTTGCAGTCCTGAGTTGGGCTGAACACATTAGCCTCCTTTTCACTGAGGACAATTACCTGGTCAGCGTTCATACACCAGGACCAGACATTCCCCTTGAACAGCTCCCAACCTAGAGCGCGCAGCCAGTAAAAGCACAATGCAAAGACTGGGACTTTGCGCTTGACACTTTATGTGATTTGGATTCCACTTCTCCTTTCCTTCTCCACTTTCACCTCTCTCACTCGGCCCTGCTCTCCACCTCCACTGCTGCTTCACTTTCTCAGTGGACGGCCTGCACCCAAACCACGTTCTCTGTGCCATCTTCCAATCTCAACTGAGCCAGTCTCCTGAAACCTTCTTTTTCTGCTTAGACCAGATGCCTTATCATTTACATGAGACAACCCTAGCTCCCTCACCCCACTATGGTCTACCTCTGATGGGTTTCTACTATTCTCCCTCCTTCTCCCTACAAGGCTCCTCTGACTGAGCAAAATCTATTTGTTAGAAGAGCCTGCCACTCATATCCTTGCATTGGGTCACACCGTTCTCCATCTTGAAACCCTCTATTTCTCTGACACTTCATTGAATGCCACTCAGAGCCCAGATTTGTGCAATCTCCTCCTAGGTGAAGCTCCTGCCACAGGGGGATTGTTACTGTTTGGAGCTCCTGATTTTGGTGCTATTCGTGTGGCAGCGTCTATTTCTCTGTGTGTGCCTTCACCTGAAGGAACCCACACATTCCTTTAGTCAGTGATGGTACCTTTTACTGCTCTGCTTTCACAGCAGATAGTACACAACCCTGTATAGAGATACTTCTTTTTATATTCATCTATTTAGCCATTATACTGCAATTCCGTACTTACTGAATGGTTTGAATTGTGGGAGCTAATTTTTCCTACCCAATAATCTAGTAAGCAACACCATCACCCACATGTGCCTTAAGCACAGTGGAAAACTATTGTCACTTCCCATTGCAGTACTGGAAAAAGAACAGAGAAACTAACACTTACTGAACTTTCAACCTATGTTTAAAAGCTCTTTACACTTCCTTTCCAAGCTTGCTGTCTCTTGAGATCCCACAGATTTTAGCCTACTGCCTCCACTTATTCGAATTGCTAAATTTACAAAACATACCCTACCAGTCATGGCTTCCAGCTTCTGAACCTTTCACCAAGTTTGGCCTAAAAAAGAGAATTTTCATTGTGCCTCATCTTCATTCCATATAGCAGTTACAGTACTCATCTTTTAATTAAACTGAAATAGGATGTATCAATTCTTTATCCAGAAATGTCAATGGATTTCTGTTAAACATTTGCCAACTTACTTCAAAGAAAATAAATTTTATAAGGTACACAGCCCATTTTTTAAATCTTGTCTTTCTTTGCTAGTCTAGACACACTCCTACTTGACCCCTCCTGGACTTCTGGCATCCAAGACTATGTAATGCATTCCCTTATTGAAATACTGAGCCATTAAAACTTGCATATGCACTCGACTGACAATATGAAGACCGATCATTATAATAAATTATTTTTTTTCTAACAGGAAGAATTTTAAAAATCAATATGGTAGACCAGAATCAATAATCTCTATTACTCATCTAAACGCCAAATTCATCTATAACAAACAAACAGCTTCCCTCCACCCCAAAGGAAATACTTCATATGATCTAGTTCAAGGGAATGAAAGCTATTGGATAGAAACAAATTCTAAAAAACTAGGCAGAGCCATTTTCACAAAAGAAAACAAACTACTTGTCTTTCTCTTCACTGCCACCCTAAATCTACAATCTCTGCACTAGTGTTACACTCACACAATCCCACTTAACAGAAACTTCCCCCACAGAGGGCTTGTTTCAAAAGACTGGTAAGGTGAGCAGATAAAGCAATGGGATCCTTCTATAGAATAGATAACACTGTTAGATAAGCTCCTGCCCCCTAGGGAATGGAGGAGGGCAAAATAGTAAGACTTGTCTTTTATAGGACACAATTCCTAGATCTGTAGTCAAACTCCATGAAACCCTGTCATCACTGGCCCCAGGAGAGCTGTGGTTCATTAATACTCTAGGATAGTTCCCTCCTCAGAGGAAGCCACAACCCTCTTTGTGGATCTCAGTAAAGTACTGACCTCTTAAAATAACTCTCCTAACTCTGTAGTTCTGTACAGACCATTTTCAGTATTGACCAAAAACAGCATGGACAACAGATTTAAGGAAAAAAACAACAGGGATTATCCCACCCAGCCTCTCATTTTTTTTTTTTTTCCAGCATCTCATTTTTAACAGGTACCGGGAAAGAACTGTTATTTGATTTTAGGAGAGGAGAGCACCATGGACCAAGTTTGTGGCTCTAAACTGTCTCCACGGCAGGGGTGCTGTCCTGCCTTTTGCCTGCAAGAGCACCACAAAGATCTCCTAGAAAACACATCCTCCTTTCCACTTAGCATTCTTTCTTTCAACACTGTTGCTCAGCTGTTTTCACCCCATCATTGAATCCCCTGGTTTCCTTCTCTCAGGAAACCAAAGCATTGTCTCAAATTTGCTTTTTACTCATTTCATATTTATGAAGCACCTACTGAGCTCCTGGTCAGGCACTGTGGGAGCTTCCATAAACAGACACAAGACCAAGAAAGCATCCCTAAATTTACAAAAGGCCTTTATTGGAAAATACAGACTCTACCTTAGAGCCATAAATTATTTCTTCATTCTGATGGTCTTATCAATATGCTTGATAGTGTTGGATGTCTGGTCTATCAAAACCAAGTGTCCTCTCCTAAAAGTCTCATCATAATATCACATAACAACTGTGCAGACCAGGTGATGATTCCTTTATTTCCAACTGCTTAGAACTACTTAATTTGGGTGCATTGATTCTTTCATAAAAGACATATACATCCTGAGGGCTGGGGATATAGCTCAGCGGTACAGCCCATGCCTGGCAAGACATATGCATCCCAATGAGAAGTATACTAATATTTGAATGGAAATAGATTTTAATTCAAATTTATTTCTTCTCCTTTCCATTTTAATGAACCATGGAAAATGATTCTCCAAATGATTTTTAGGCTAACTTCGTATTTTAAACATTTATTAGAAAACTGTAGCCCTATAATATTCACAAGTGAATTTCCATATACCATAGTGATATAATTCAAAAGAGAAATTGATTAGCAACCATATATTACCATTTTTTAGTTTTAAAGTTGTGTGTCCCTTAAAATTAAACTATAATAGGCCATGAAGCTGGGTCTGGACCAACCACAGTACTCACTCCAGAGTTGCTAAAAATATCTTACTGAACAATGTAACAGAATAAGTCCCCCCGTTCACCAGCTTTTAAAGGCGATCCCTTAATATTATCTTTAGATTTACTTACTTAGGTTACTAAGTGGGAAAAATAAAGGAGGAGGTCTGAATCATTTCAACCCTGTCACAGATGTTTAACATATTCTGCTGCTAACATGAACCAACAAGACCTGCCAGACACACCAATAATGCAAAAATTTGTTTCATGATACAACTTTTAGCCACTGTCCATTTTCCTATTCTGGGTGATCAAGTAAAATATGAAGACGAAACAGTGGAATAAGTATACTGAATTTCTTACAGAGCTAGGAATCTGAAAGCTTCATAAGTAACATGTGGGCACATATGTTAAGAGATTGTAGAATGAAATGGTAGGCTCTGATCTATTAAGCTGTCTAGCAGATTTTCAAGAATTGGGGGAGGGGGTCCTTCTTAAGCCCCGGATAAACTTACATCTCAACCAAAGCCTGATAAAGATTAAAAGGACAGAATCCCAGCCAGTTCATAGGCTTGAGAATGACAAGGTGATCAGGAGTTCACTGTCTTTCACCACAGGAGGAGGAAGGGCAAGGAATCACAAGTCTGGGTGTAAACTCTGGTTGCAATGTGGACCCACAGCCATGTCCTTAGGGATCCAAGGAACAGGCCCACACCAGCCCATTATAGCCACAAAGAGCATTTGCAATAACATCTCAACCTAGCATGGCCACACCAAAGTCAATGGCGTGTGCACCCTTTCATTAGCATCTACAGCATATCTATTTCCCTGTGATGTGTTGAGAAAAAAGGAAGGGGACAGAAAGGCTTACTGAGCAACTCCTTGTCTTAAGCACCCCTCCATATTAGTAATTGTACCCATCTGTCCCTGTGTTTACAGATAAGAGGCCAGAGGTGCAGAGAAATGAAGTATTTTACTAAAAGTCCCAGGACTGGAAAGTTAGAGTGAGGACGGAGACAAAAGTTGGTTGATTCCAAAGTAACATTCTATTTTAACATGCTACATGCTAGTAAATAACAGCAGTTATTTTCTATTCTATTTTAGAAACCATACTAGGTATTTTCCTTTATGCATTGTTATCACCTATCCTTGGAAAACGCTGAGGTAGGTGTTCTCATTAATTCTATTTCTCAAATGACAAAACCAGACTTAAAGAGGTTACAAATTTTCCCAACTGTGTAACCTGAACCTGTCTTTTGTTGCTGCACCATACATGTATATTTTAACATAGAACATGATGATTTCAGAGTAACATTACAAATGAGAGCATCTAACTTTATTTTAAAAATCACAAATAGTATCTGCTAGATGCAGTAATTTTCAACCCTCCATGTAAACAGAACCTGAGAAACTGAAGAGAAACAAACAACACGGGTATCAAAGTCCCACCACCCTAGACTCAATGGATGAGAATTTCTAGGAGTGAATCCTGGGCCGTTTTTTCTAGAGTTTTCCAGGTTATTCTAATGTGTCACCAGGCTTAACTAAAATTTAAAAAATGATTGAAAAAGAAAATCATTTTTTAAATTTTAGTTAAGCCTGGTGACACATTAGAATAACCTCCTCCTCCTCTACTTCAGCTCTCCTCCTCCACTTCAGCTGTGGG